GCTGCTACTAGAAATCTGGAATTTTGGGCCCCATCCCAAAATGACCAGAGATGACTAGTACACATTATCATTTGAGGAGCATTTCCCCAAGACAAAAAACAGGAGCACTAATTCTTTTTTTTTTAAGTTGTAATGGAATCATTATTTAAGTCTCATGTAGAAAGGAGAACTAAGCCTGGGGCCAGGTGTGTGCGAGGGGGGCGTGGCTGCCAGGTAGGATCTAGGCAGTAGGGCAAAGGGTGGAAATGCAAGCAAGGCAGGAAGCTCTGAATCCCCAGGGAGCAGTTTTGGGAGCCAGAGAGGACTGACCTTTTTGTAGGTGGTAATGAGTCACAGAATGCTGAGGTCAGTTGGCAAAGGGTGTGAGCTGTCGAAGCCACCAGAACACACAGGTTGACTGAGATTAAGAACCCCGCTGGGGTTGGGGGGCGGCTCAGGTCCAGCTTCCCACTCAAGGCAGTTGTTATGTGCGCTGTTAAATTGGAGTGACCCTCCAGTGAGTTTTCAGAGATTGGAAATCCCACAGAAGATATTGCCCCTCTTTCCTGGCCCTGAGCAGCTGGTGGATTCAAAGCTCAACTCCTTACCATCAAGCTACCAGTGCTCTCTTCTAACAGCAGAGGACAATTTATTTGGTCCCAACTTCAAACAGAGGGAAGCCAGTGCTGTTTGGAGTTAAACTCAGTTGTTTATTGCAGTCACGTGGACTTTCTAAGCTTGATTTCTTTGGTTTCTTAGTAAAAACTCCCTTTTGCACAATTCCAACTCATAGGAGTGGGAATTAACAAGGAAGCAAAGCAGCCTGGGAAAGAGGAAATGGTCATTATTTATTTCCACACCATTTTATTCCCTTGCTTTCGGCAACCTGAGTCTTCTCAGGAGGAGCTGAAGCGCTTGCTGCAGCAGGTCAAGGCCTGCAACCTTCAATATGGATTGAAGCTCAACATCAAGAAAACAAAGATTCTCACCACTGGGCCAATTGGCAGCATCATTATCGATAGTGAAGAGATTGAGATTGTTAACAGTTTTAGTTTGCCTGGCTCCAGAATCAACACTCTTGGTACCAGCAGCCAGGAAATCAAGAGATGAATTGCACTGGGACCTCTCCAGAGTACTGAAGAGCAACATCAGGATGGAGACTAAGGTGCGTCTGATCCAGGCCATACTTTTCACAACTGCTTGCTATGTGTCAGAGCTGGACAATGACTAGGGATGACAGAGAACTGATGCATTTGAGCTGTGGTGCTGGAGAAGAGTGTTGAATATACCATGGACTGCTAGGAGAACAAACAGGTTCGTCTTAGAGAAGGTAAAACCAGGCTGCTCCCTGGAGGCAAGTATTCTGAAGCTTAGTTTGACATATTTTGGACATGTTACAAAGAGAGACTGGTCCTTGGAGAGGGACATCATGGTTGAGGGGGGTTATGGGGGTTGGTGTGTCAGAGACAATAAGGTTGGCACAGGATAGAGCAGGGTTTAGGGCTCTTGCACATAGGGTGCAAGTGACTTGATGGCATATAACAAGTCTTCTCAGTGGGTTTTTAGAAATTGATTTGTAGATAATGGAGTGTTTAAATAGAATAAGAATATAGTGGAAAATAGCCCTAGAAATTATTTTTGCTAAAAAATAAAATTTGAGGGCAATTTATAAATGACTTCAAATTCTTTTGACAATTTTGTATGTCGTATAACAGTTTTGACAGCTGATACTCAGCTTCTCCAAGGATTTCTTCCATAAATGTAGTCAGTCTGATTTCTATGCAGTCCATTAGATTAAATCCATCTTTTGGGTCTTTTAGAAAAATTATTTGCAATGAATAAATCATTGTAAATACAAAATTCAATCATTCTCTTTCCAGCCTCATTTCTATTACCAAGCCCATATTTTCCAACTACTGTTCCTTCTTATTTTCTACTTTTGCATCCTAGTCACCAACTGTCATCAGTGCATCCTGATTGCATGTTAGGCCAATTTCAGACTGTAAATTTGGTAAAAATTCTCAATCTCTTCCTCTTTGGCACTAGATGTAGGAGCATATACTTGAGTAATAGTCGTGTTGGGTCTTCCTGCATGCGTATAGATATTATCTGATCACTCACAACGTTGTAACAACAAAACAGTTGTTATGATGGGATTTCAAGGTGTTTATAAGCTTTCTAGAAAGCTCTGGTGGCTTAGTGGTCAAGATTTGCACTGCTAACTCAGCGGTATGTGGTTTGGATCTATCAGCTGCTGCAATGGAGAAAGATGGGCAATCTCCTCCTATTACAGCCTCTGAAAACCCACTGGAGAGTCAGCTATGGCTTAATTCTGACTCTACAGTACTCAACAATCACTACCACTAATCTTTTTAATAAATTTGACCCTCTGATCATCATAGGGGCACTGATAATTGCTAAAATCTTAATAAATGTGGATTATAATTGCCACTTCTTGTTTTGAACACTTTACAGCTGCAGAATACTACTTAGTTGTCAAATCATCAAACCACTAAGAAGGCAGGAAACCTGTAAAAAAGGTTGAAAGATTACTGACAAATACAGTCTTTTGTGTGTCAAGAGTTGAGACAGCCACTAGGGGCTTACAGGACTGAGAATACATCCCAGACTGAGTTAGGGGGACATAAAGTACCTAGAACTTGAGTTACATTTTTATGAAGAAAATTCTCCATTTCTAAATGCAGGCCACACACACAGATGTTTGCAAGCGTAAGGACTCCTGCAGCAGGAGCTTGGCCATTTCCCCAGCTCCCTGGGTAATGTGAGGACAGGGCAGGGCAATGCTTTGTTCTGCTGTCTGCAGGGCTGCTCTAAGGTGAAACTGATTAGCCAGCATCTCACATTAATCTACATATTGGCAGCCTAAAACTCACCCACTGTGAAGGTCGAAGAAAGGACTGGTAATTTCCTGACATAAAGATTTAGCCAAGAAAACTCCATGGAGCACTTGTACTCACTGTAATACATGAGTCGTCACAGGCCAGAATCAACCTGATGGCAACAGATTATTTTTTTTAAAAAAACTGGCGCGCTGAAGGCTGAGAACTAAGGAACTCCACTGCGAATTCAAAGGTATGTGGTTTCAACCTAGCAGGTGCTCTGCGGGAGGAAGCTGGACAATCTCCTCCCATGCAACTAACTTACTGCTTCAAAAACCCTCCTAGATCCCACAGCTGCCCGCCCCCAAAGACAAAAAACTTGCTGGAGGGTCGGCGATGAGTCAGTTCCGACTCGATGGCACTGAGAAACAGATGTGGGATAACGAAATGTGGGCAGGAACAGACGCAGATCACTGGCCATGATCCAAAGTGTAGATGCTGATGGGGCCACTGTTCTCTGAAAAACTCCCCCAACAATTCTGAGCCACTGAGCACCCCACAGACTGCTCCGAAAACACTCAGCTTAGTGCCTGTTTAATTTTAATCATATTAAACATTTATAAATTTTCTATACATTAAAACAAATACATGCAAAGTTACAAATATAGAAAATATAAAGTACATGCACATCTCAAAGACTGGTTAAGGGTGTCCATGTTGGATTCTTATACAAAACCATCCAGGGCGCACTGTGAACCCAAGAACCACACAGAAGGGGTTTCCCTCGTTATTTGCTATCTTACAAAAAGTTAATACATTAGATACCTCAGATATGTAACAGCTCTGAACAAAACATCTAAATATATCATATGTACTATATATATGTATTTTTATTTTTACATTGAATACCCACAGTGCAAGCCAATAACATTGCAAAATAGTAAACATACCTGTTAGGTGACAATATTGAACAATTAAAGGAATAATTTTACCTTAATATGAAATTCTTTTTCCACTTGGAAAGACCCACACCCACGTCATCTCCATCTTCAGCTGCTTCTTCGGGAATTGTCTCCCTATTCTCTGATTCAAATGCCAATTACAGAAACTAAGGACTTGGTCTGATTCTGATTTTTGAAAATGAGACAATAAAGGAAACACTCCTTTCCACACTGACGTTTCCTTCATTTCACAATCCTCTATGATAATCATGCTGTCACAGCTGCCACATACTCCATGTTAAAAATCTCCCAGCTTGAGACAAGTGTTAAATTTATTCAGGTTTCTAGATTCAATGAACAAAGACTGGCCCTCAGTGTCTAGAAGGTAATTTAACTTTGGCTACTTTACTTATCTACAGTTTAATATCTTACTAAAGGAGGGAACGCCACAGGTCTGGGCTTCAAGCAAGTGCAGAAATGAGACTGCCTGTCAGAGACAACTCCTCAGTGTTTGTGTGCTCTTTGGAACCAGAAGTCTTTCCACACGTCTCTAGTAGTCTCACTCCCGTGAAAATGGGCTCTGGCCAGAGTCCTGTTTACTCTTGATGCAAAGGTGGCTGCCAGCCCACGCTGCAAGATGCAAAAGGCCATTGCAGTTCTCTGCAGGCCTGGGGACCTGCTCTCCAGTGGGCTGAGGTGTGGCCCAGGGTGAAGGGTTCCTAGTTCTGTTTTATCAGGGACTATCATGTGGCCTCCTTGCAGATTTGGCAGAAATGTTGCTTGAACAGGGAAACCTGATAGTTTTCTTAAAATGGGTGAGAAGAGGTCCCCAAAAGGCTCTGAAATGACTGTGAAATGGGGGCATTTGTAATGACTGCTAAGAGGGTCGGGCCCGAGCTGGGAAGGCAGACAGCAATATTCGGGCAAAGGCATTTAAAGACAGTTTTGGATCCTCAGCCTGTGACAGTAGCCAAATAAGCCTAGACTAACAAGTGGACATTTGCTGTTGCTCTCCTCAGCCCAGCATCAGCACTGGCCACCTACGAAGGACTCAATGGCAGGGAGGCTTGAAGAATGAACATCCTGGGCTCCACTCCCCATCTCCCACTGCCCAGTTATTAACTCAGGGGTGACAAGGTAAGAAGCAAGAATGAGACACCACCACTAAAAGGGCTGCAGGTAGATGCGCCCTCCCCACCGGGGAAAGGCTTAGCCAGATGGTGACAGTGGAGGAGCTCCCTCAGCCCACTATGAGGAAAATGAGGAAGGAGATGAGGAGGATCACGGGTGGGGAGGAGAAGAGCACCACGCTGGAGCCCCGCTGGTACGCCATGGACTCCTTCTGGTACTGCGTTATGCACATCTGCTCCACCACGCGCTCCATGATCTTGATGTCGGTCTCGGTGAAGTTCTCCCCTTTGGTGGTGGTGGTGGTGGTGTGCTGCTTGACCGTGATGTTGACACAGTCGTGCACGAAGTTGTTCTCATTGTTGTACTGGTTCACGGGCTTGTAGTACACTTGGTTGGGGTAACGGTTCATGTTCTCCCGATAGTAACGGTCCTCGTAGTCATTACCAAAATGCATGGGGGGCCGGCTCATGGCGCTCCCCAGCATGTAGCCGCCGAGTCCCCCCACGACCGCCCCAGCCGCCGCGGCCCCTGCCATATTCTTCATGTTGGTTTTGGGCTTGTTGGGCTTGCCCCATTGACCGTGGCTGCCACCTTGACCCCAGCCTCCGCCACCGTGGGGCTGCCCCCAGCCCCCACCACCGTGGGGCTGCCCCCAGCCCCCGCCACCGTGGGGCTGCCCCCAGCCTCCGCCACCGTGGGGCTGCCCCCAGCCCCCGCCTCCCTGCGGTGGGTAACGGTTGCCTCCAGGACTCCCTGGGTATCGGCTTCCCCCACTGTTCCATCCTCCTCCTCCGGGCTTTGGCCGCTTCTTGCAGAGGCCCATGTCACTCCACGTGGCCACAAAGAGGACCAGCAACCAGCAGCTACTCTTCACCATGATGACAGGTCTGAAAAAGGAAGATGGGGTCAGTGCCTAGATCTCTCCTGAGACCACTTAGCACGTGCAGTGAATGAATGGCCAGCAATGGCCTGTCCCTCCGTTACATCCATGCACCTCTTCACCCTCAGCACTGGTCTCTGGTAGCACTTACAACCAAAGGCAAGTAAAGAGCAAATAAAGCTCTTTCCTTCCCTAAGGACTGATTTGACCTTAAGTTAATTTCTAGCATTACTTGCTGAAATCATGCTGGGAGAAAGCCAGCCATATTTATGGCTGGCACTGAACTGAAAAAAACCAAAAAATCCACCGCACAGTCCGAGTCACTGTGAGCCTCCGCTGGGTTTCGGAAGCTGTAATTAGTCTTTATAAGAGGAGACTGATTATCTTTCTCTAGCAGAAAGGCTGGTGGATTCAAAGCTCTGGCCAGGTGCCAACTTGGGACTGCCACCAATGGCACTGAACCAGAAACCAAAATGACCCAAGGAGTGGCCACAGCGGTACTGCTGACTCATGGTGACCCACGTGTGAGTCAACGACAGAGTACCGGTGGGCCTGTCCCAGCTCTGGGCGTCTCCACAGCAGCTGCTGTACCTGGGCTGTCCTTGAGGGGACCCGGGGAGCGGTGACTATCACGCAGTTAGAGGTTATCAGCTCCTGCCAGGCACGCGGCTGGTCTGCCGAGGGGTCTCGTGACCACTAAGGACTTCACTTGTTGGCAGTGAGCTGGCACTGAGTGTGAACTCAAGATCCTGGTCGCTGGGTCTCTGTCGTGAGGACTACTTCCACAGAACAGAGGCTCTGCTGTGGTCCTGCTGGGTAACCTGAGGCCAAGCGGAGGCCATCATGTCTGGGGAGCGCAATGTCCAGTTCAGAAGATGACCTTACTGACGTCATCTTGTCTAACTGGCCATTGCAGCAATAAAATGACCATGTAATTCATGGCTACTGTCTCCTTTCCAAGCCCAGTGGAATGCAGGCAGGGACTGAGCGTCTCTTGTCTGCTGCTGCATTCACAGGGGCTCGGATGGTGCCTGGCACAGAGCAGGCGCACAATAGATATTTGTTAAGTTAGACAAGGAACGTGCTCAAACATATGAAGATGTCAAAAGAATTTCCTCAAAGGAATTCTCGATGGCATTTTACTGAAAACAGGAAATACCCAACATTTTCAGTCCAAATTTCTTTTCCTCCTTCCACTTGTCTATTGAGATTGCCAAAGATGGAGTCAGAAACGGTGTGTTCACAGGATCTGTAACTACTCAGCTCAAGAAGGAGCTGAAGCGTAGCATTTACTGCTTAAGTGAGTGACTCATTTCTTTCCTGACCCTCCACTGCTATGGAGTCAATTCCAATGTGTATTGAGCCCCCAGGACTGAGTAGCATTGACCCCCAGGGTCTCCAAGGCTGTAATTTTTAGAGCGGCAGAGTGCAACTTCCGCCACAGGACAGCTGGTGGGTCTGACATTTTGGTTAGCACCTGAGCACTTAACCACTGCGCCACTAGGGCTCCTTCCCTTCAGATTTCATATCTCATTTACCGGTAGTGCCCAGTTCCAAAAGTTGAGATCAAAGATACTACTTTCTGTAGCCCCAAACTCTGTGCTCAGGACATGGACACATTGTCCACAAAGACAATGTTCTATTTCCTACTTCAGTGAGTAGCAACTAGGGATTCGAGTCTCTCCATGTGGAGCAAAGAAAGTGAAGAAAATCAAAGACTCATAGAAACAAGTACTTTACAAAACAAATGAACCACATGGACCTCGGCCCCAAGGCCCTGAGAAGAATTAGACGGTGCTAATGTGGATGATCCGGAAGGAATCACAATAGATGGACGGTCATGATAGAGCAGGAGAAAAATGCAAAAATAAACTCAAAGTCATAAAGACGATGCGACTTACTATTGTGATCAAGGTGAGCGGACCCCCTAAAACTATGACCCTTCGACACTCATCAAGCCTGAAACCCAATTCCTGCCTATGGCTCAGCTTTCAGCTAAGGACAGACAGGCCTGTGGAGTGAACCGTAACGGGAGACATCCACACTCCTTAGACCCACCGGCCGCACCTGACCAAAAATGGCCTTTGCCCAAGGGTAAAGTTCAGAAGGCAGGAAGGGGCAGGAGAGAGGGGCAATGAGCAGGAAAATAGTGAAGCTATGTAGAGAATGCTGTTCAACGCAGACACCGTCAACAGCATCAAGAAACACGATGTGTCCGAAACGTTACAAGGGAAAGGAAATCAATTTGCTCTGTAAACTTTCCTGCTAACAAGGACACATAAAAAACCCAAAACAAAACAAAGCCAAAAATAAAACAAAAAAAAACCCCAAACACGCCATATACTAGAATTTTCTAAGAGCAAGGAGAAGAAAGTGTTCTAATTATACTATGTTAGAGATAAAAGATCTAACTGAAAGTAGCTATTGTTTGCCGTTGAGTCGGATCCAATTCGCAGCTGGCCCTCCAGCAGGTTTTCAGAGGCGGTTTCCTTGCACAGGAGAAGACTGTCCATCTTTCTCCTGTGGCGCAGCTGGTGGATTTGAACTGTGCGCCTTTGGGATTTCAGCATAGTTCCTTACCACTAAGCCACGAGAGCTCCCTAAAAAGAAAATAACTTGCTGTAATACTTGCTTTCTAACCACTAGATTTTATGGCCAAAGATAGCATTATGTGCCAAAAAACCCAAGAGTCGAATCTGTAACACTGACCCTGATCGTGTGTTCAGCAATAGGATTATCTTCAAATAAAAGCGGCATCAGATGTTAGAAAGCGATTCCCCCCCGGCCCCAGAACAAATCACTAATAGGATAATACAGCATGAAGACTCAACAAATATTTCCATTACATTTCTAGTATCTTATTGAAATCAGAAGTGCTGTCTTTGAGCTCATATGCAAATAAAAACACATTTGAGGATTAAATCTCCTCAGACCATGCCAGTTAGGATTTCTGGAGTCTGTTTAGGGTAGGAGCTGGAAGTGCAGACATACTGACATGTCTTTGCACCCCACATCTCTGAGCCCCCTGTTCTCACAGGTCTTCCCCTTCTGAACAGTCCTCTATCTTCTCACTGGCCCTGTCTCCTTGCACTCACAATTCTAACATCTCAGGGAGCTGAACCAGGGATCATTACCTCTGCCACTGACTCCCAAGCTGATGGGTTTCAGTACCAGTAACTTTTCCATTCTCTCCAAGTGAGCTACCCAGCCAACACTCAGGAGTTCTAGAATTTTCCAGCACATCACACAATTGAGCGATCAGTACATCTCAATAGCTCGGCTTTGAAAAGAAATCCTACACTCGCAGCTTCTCGCATTGCCCACCGTGACAATGCCAGCTGAAACCTCGGTCATCTCCAGCTCAATTCTTACAGTCTGCACACCTCTCCCCTCTCTCACTGCGTCCTCCACTCAGCAGCCAGCAGGAACCCTTTAATACTCAGGCTACATCATGCCACTTCCCTGGCTCCAACGCACTCCTTCGTACTTCCCCAATGTAGTCCTTCTCCACACACAGGATAGAACGCAAATACTTGGCCATGTTTTGAGCCCCGTGGTCTGGGACCCGGCTCCTGGCGCCTTCCCTCACCAGCCACCTGTTTTTCCTCAGGGGGGACAAGCACGCCTTTTGCAGGTTCTGGTCGCTGTGTCTGGAAGGTTCCCCTTCCATCATGCGTAAGGCTCAGATGTCACCTCAGAGGGGCTTCCCTCCACTCTAACCTATAACGCGCCCCCTATCCTTGCTCCATAGCCTTCTCCTGAGCAGCTCGGGCTCCATGACATCTTACGCCCTGCGTGCCGATCGCTCTTCTCCACAGGAGTTAAGTTCCTCAAAAGGCAGAGGTCTTCCTTTCCTCACAGCTGTGTCCCTGGCACTGACTCACAGATGTACAAAATAAATGTGAAATGAATGACTAAGCATGAAAAAAATAATCGATCATAAAGCTGAAGGAATAACTGAACTAAAGTGGGATATCTAGAGAAAGTCATATTTATGGATATACAAATGATTTCAAGGTATTCTGTTCAACATTTGATAAAAATCAACATGTATTTATCATTAAAAACACTCTCAGCAAATTAAAGGCATGTCCCTACTTAAAAGTGATTACAACAAAACTAGCCAATATCCTTAATGGAGAAGCTTTAAATGCATCCCCTTTACGAGCAGGACTAAGGCATGGAAGCCCATCAACACAATCTAGAACCCTAACACAGGAGACTGCCCACCTTTCTCCCATGGAGACTCAGCTGTGGGTGGATTTGAACCACCAAAGAGGCGCCACTGTTAGGTTCTGCAGTGAAACTACCTACAGACTAAGCCACCAGAGTTCTTATAAAAGTTAAACTGGAAAAAATCAGAAGTGTTTCTCTGTATTAACAAGTGACTGGGAAGGGATAACTGAAAATAAGTTTTCATTCATAACTGCAGTTAAAAACGTTAAAGAATAGATAATGAGATTAAGAAAACTGTCACTCCAATGTTACATGCAAGGTTGACTCTAGAAGGATTAAAAATCCAAGTACAGGGAGCTCTGGTGGCCTAGTGGCAAGAAGCTGCAACTACAATCCCAGAGGTGCACGGTTCGAATCCACCAGATGCTCTGCCGGGGAAGGAGGGGCAATCTCCTCCTGTACCAGTCAGATCTGATTTGACGGTACACGCACACACACACACACACACACACACACACACACACAAATCCAAGTACAATGTCAGAAATGAGGACTAGTGGACAAAGGCGTAGATAAGATGGCATACTACAAAGCCAATAAAGACTCATATCTGGAACCTAGAAGGAAGTAAAAAGAAACTGAAGTAGTTATGAAGAAAGAAATAAGAGTTGAACGGAAAATTTAGTAAATCATAGGGAATGGTAGAATTTCTAAATTGTCAGGAGCTAATTTTTTAGGAATTACACCCACACACATAGATACATATTAGAAAAGGTAACTGTTCTACTGTTGTGTACTGTCAAGTTGGAATTGACACACAGCTGACCCTCCAGTGGATTTTCAGAGGC